ACATTTCACGCTTACACGGTTCGTTGAAATCGGGATAACTTTTGAAATACAGATCAGAATTTTACTAAAATTTCACATTTTATTCATTGAAACATGTGCTTTTAAGACGTCACAATTGCCTAGCGGCTACAGTTCAAATCGTCTTATATGAACGCTTTTAAAGTGCTAATTCGGTAATTTCTGTTTATTTTTTCTCACTGCTATAGATTAAACAGATATTGGTAAGTAAAAATAGTATTCCAACAGACTCTTAACTCATTCTGTTTGTTCACTAGTGGCAAAATAAGATTTCCCGGGAAAAAAACATGACGTCACGAACAGAACCGGTTATGGATTTTAATCGGCAATGCGTTATGCAACTCGAATGTAAATTCAAAAGTCTTCATGTTATACTGTGTTCTGATTGGCCAGAAAGGAGTAACGCTTACCGAAATCGCCTCATGGTTCACTGCCTTTTGGTTACAAGATTTTAGACGCCTTGATTTATGTAATACTATCAACTGAGCGTGTTTATTTTCTATATTGTGTTCTGACTGGCCAGAAAGTAATTCTGCATGACTAGCTATGTGAAAACGTACCGCTGGGTTGGAGGCTCTAATTTAGGTATTATTTTTTGTTTATCGGAGGAAAAAACGTGGCTCCAAAGTAGTCATCTCTGAATCAATTCCTCACTTCTTGAATGCAGATGCAATCAATTACACTAATACTTTATAAGCACGTTCGGGGATTATGAACTCCAACAACATATTCAAAACCCGTTCTGTTCGTGATGTCATGATTGACATTTAAAATTGTGTTCCCGATTTTGAACATCAAATCTCACATTTATAAAAATGTTTACAAGAAGGGTTACTGGTTCGACATGTTAGTGGTATTTACTTCGTTTAGAACGTGTATAAACTGTATTTTGACCCCATGAGCATCGAACAGACACTTTAAGATTTTCAAAATTGTGTAAGGTTTTGAAGGCGAAGGAGACAAGCAATAAGTTTACCTTTATTTAACCTTCTAATTTAGGTCTGATTTCAAAAAAAATTTAACTGCACAATATTGTCATGGCGAAATTTACAAAACAATAACCGATTTCTTTATTTTTTAAATAATAAGAGAATAAGAGTTGCTTTTAGAGACTTGAAAAAATGTAACGCATCGATTTTTTACCACAAATCCCTTACATATCAATTTTTACTAACGCCCCGAGTGGACTTCCAGACCGTTTTTCAAAAATCAAAAACATTTTAGAAATATTGTCCTCGAGATCTTGTTGCTCTGTTAATTTTACCAGGATTGAATAAGAATAAAGCATCTTATTTTTAGGTTGACTAAACTTGACAAAATGTAACGCTTGTCGTTTTTGACGTTATAATGCTGATTGCGCCCTATACTGCCCATTGTATTGTTTTGGTATTTTGACGCCATAATGTTACTCTAATTGTCCCCAGTTTCGTGCGACGTGTATACATGATAGAGGCTTTATGAATGATAAACAATGGAAACATGAATGAAGATAACTCTGGACTAAAAAATAGTTCCAGGAAACAAAATGGTGGACATGAAATATTTAGAATTCACAATGGTTTGAGCTTTATTATACTCTAACAATGCAAGAAGTACACATTTTCGTGCTCCTTCGTTGTTCCTTGGTAAGGTAAGACTATATCTAGAAATTTTGAATTCTTGCAAATGTGTGTCTGTTGCAAGGCTACTCCTTGAAACTTTCAAAAAATAGCCTCACTTCGCACTCTTCATGCTAGCTTTTGGGAGCCATACACCTCCAATTCATAGTTATGAAAAATGCATTTAAATGTGAGGTTTTCTTTTATGTGTCTCTTTAGTCAGGAAATGCATTCACATACAGGGAAAACAGTATACAAAATCTTCTGACTTTATCAAAAAAATATGGCTCTCATGTTTTTGTACTTTTGATTAACTTAAATGTCACCTTAAGCGGTGGAAGATATCGTTGAACTGTAGTGCCTACCTATGGTATATGAACAAACGATCATACTTCAAAGTTTCCATGTCATATAAGCCAAATCTATTCAAATATCAAAGCATGTTTTCAACTATAAAGTAGTTTAATTTGATGAAAACTAAAACTATCGAAATCGTCACTTTCCGTCCGCCATCTTAAATGTTACCTTCGCTTTATACTGACCAGAGAATAAGTTGCAATAGGTATGCCTATTTAATTTTAAAACTAGAAAATTCCTATCCCCATTCCCTATAATGTACACGTGGATGATACATAACATGTGCATATATGAATCCACGGATTTCGACTAGCCACGATGTCCCAATCTTATGGTTGGGAGGCAGAGTGGCCATTATGTTGGATAATCAGTAATTACCTTTTTAATGCCTTGGTCACATTTGCTCCGATTTTCACTATACGGCGCCCGGCCGATTGAGTATTTTGTTCAAAATTGAATACAATATTGAACAAAATACTCAATCGGTCGGGCGCCAGCCGATGGATCGAAGCAAATGTGACCAAGGTATTATAGGTAAGTAACCACAGGGCTTAAAGTACTCGTTACAAACTAGATCATAACCTGGTGCTTTAAAACATGCAACTCCGATAATGAAGATATATGATTAAATAGACACATCATACTATATTTGATTGAAATGATCTTGTAAAACATTTATTTTTTAATTAAAGATTTTACTTTACATTGCAACCATTGGAACAGTTTAACCGTGTACATGTATTTATATTGCAATACATCGACGTATTGTGTACAATACGACCGTATTAATTGCATTACGTCATATTATAATAGTACAAAGTAATCCGTGCATTATAACACAATGTCATTATATTTCGAACATGGAAATTATCGTATACATACTAGTATCGTAAATTACTCAGATGCGAGTAGGTAGTTACCAGTTTCGCCACCAGGTGGCTGATTCGGGGAAAATAACATGGCAGGGTATTACAAAATTCACTTAAACTTGAATATTCATCAGTTTTAGTGGTTCACTTTTCATACTACCCTTATGTATGTGATAGTTATAAATTGAAATATGTCCAGTAAAAGAAAATATTTTCTGCCCAACACAAGAAAATATATTTCACTTTTTGTGGTTTTACAACGTGGGTTCTATGGGGAATCTCCCCGACCTAGAAGTCACATTTTCAAAGAATATTACATTTTTAAAGTTGATAAACTCTTTTCAAACCACATTTCTAGATGTAATTTTACATGTAGATTCCAAATATGACATCAGCTCGACTGGATTTTGAATTCTTAATGACGTTAATCAAGTTTATTTCTACTCGCATCTTGGATATTGCATTTGTATATCACACTTTGCATGGATTATACATAGTTCCGTTCACCCTGTTGTATTTAGCAATGAGATCTAATCCGCCATCTTTGTAAAATTTACAAATATGCGCACAATACGTTCAAGTCTATATTTATCTGAAAGCGAAACATCTGAGAAATCCTTTAAGAAATATTTGAGCACTAAAGTATTTTTTGATGAACATGAGAGCGACACTTGTTTCAGTATATCAAATAACACGACCTTGACAAAACGAGTTTCACGTACGTAGTGCTGTACGTATGCATTGATAAACGAATACAAGTTTTAATTCACCAATCTCCGAATTTTGACACATCGGAAAATATTACTCACGTCGTCGTTCGAAAATCAGCTTTATCACAACGTCCCATCAAGCAGCTTGCGTCACTCTATCTTGACTTTTTGCTTTTTGCGAACATTATATTAGGCGAGAGAAATGCGCATTTCAATATCAAAAATAAGACTGAGCAAGCCACAAGGGTCAGAGTGATAGAAACTTATTTCATTCTTATGAATAAGCAAATAATAATAAATACGTATACGTAACAAAGCCATCATTTTGATAAGGCTGTTTCCATGGTTTTAGCTCAATATTCAAAGGCTTTCTTTGCATCGAAATAGAATAAAACATAATATATAAATTATAAAATAAGAAAAGTATTTACAACTTCAAATAAATTGAAGCATGTTAACAGTTTTTATAAAATCGTGTTGACAACCACACAAACACGCATATATCCAGAGAAGTGCGCATTTAATAAACAGTACAAGTTATACTTGCTCCTAGCTTAGCTCATAATAGAGAGGTTTCGCACGACCTGCGATACCTAAAACGTATCCGTAAACGCATCTTGTTGAATAACTGCTATGCGTAAATCTGGCGAATGCGTTATGGAGTTTTGATACGTTGAGCTGCTGAAAATGTCGCGCGAAACTTCTCTAATATTTTAAGTTTAAGAACTTATTACATAAACATTTAAAGTGTATGTCATGGCCTATTTGCATTTTATGCTGCCTCTACTCTCTAGCTAACCAAATCGTCCGACGTTTCTAGGTTTTAAGTCTACATCGTTATCATTTGAGGGGATCGTGCTTATTTCGTTCGATATGTTTCAGGCAAGGTACACGAAGCACGCTCTCAAGATCACAGCGTGTAATCCCGAATTTTTATATCTTAAAACAAAGGCTGGAACATAATAACTTATTCATGAAATAATTATCGGAATATGTGAACAAAATGAAGTAAGTTCTCAAACATTGACAAACCGATTGTACTTTAAGGGTGAATTCTTACACAAATAAAAGCCCCGACTTCATTCGATTTCAGTTGTTTGATTGATGTTAACGTTGATTGATCGACTGTAACGCTCGTGTCCCTAAATTGACCATCGAAGTTATACAAATGTACGTGCAACAGAATGAATAAAAATCTCAAGATTACTCTGATAGATAGTACATTCCTGGCCAATACACTTTCAACAAAGGTTTGAGAACAGGTCCACACCAGAGAGCCTAATTATATCTGTCGATTTTAGGAATTTATAAACGTCATCATTTCCCGATTTTTTGTAATTAAAGAACAATTATGACTGCAATGAAGACTCTGACATGGCGGACTTTGACAATGTGGGCATTTGTTGGCAATTAGAGAGTAACTACTCATTTCATACCAAGAGCCAATCGTAACTTTTCTATTATTCGTCTCTTATCTCGATCATGCTGTTCAGTGAAAATAACTATTTTTTAAATATACACAGCAGTTGTATCATATTTGGTTTGATTTTTTCAGATTTCCCGATTTCATGGTCATAAGTTAGATTATATTTTGTCGTTTACGGAATAACCAATCTTCAATCTTTCATTGTTCCAATAAACGGTTTTGTATTTGAAGGTGAGAGAGAGTCGGACAGATCATCAAATGTTGGATTTTCCTCCTTTGTCATAATCTCGGGTGAGCTGCCAGCGCCATCTTTATCTAACAACTCAGTATTAATCGCAACTTTACTGTCAATCTCCTCCGATAGAGGGCGTGGTCGTCGTTTAGCCTCGTCCTTTTTCCATTTCATCCTCCGATTTTGGAACCATATTTTTATATGTCTTTCAGTCAGATTTAGCATGGCGGCTATTTCTATTCGCCTAGGACGGGAGATGTACTTGCTATAGTGGAACTCCTTCTCTAGCTCGACAAGCTGGAGCCGCGTGTAGGCCGTCCTAGTGCGCTTGTTGTCATCTTCTATGTTGAAGTTAGCACCTAGAAGTACATGTACAAACGACATGATAATCAAAATAACTCATCGTATTTTACGTGAAGCAGTTATAATATTGTTCCCTATAATGTTGTTTATTTCTCAACATGCGTCTAATCAGTGACACTGTAATGTTGTCTACAAATATTTTTACATCTTAATTTATTTCTCAACATGCGTCTAATCATGACACTGTTGTCTACAAATATTTTTACATCATCTTAGGACATCATAGAATTTGACTTTTCGATAAAGGGATTAGGAGCTGTCAGTAGGAAACATTTACATCGTTAATTTATATCGAAATGTCTTTAAACCCGAGTTAACTCCTCGATTGTCATTCAGAATATATTGACTGTGATTTCTACAACCTCTACTTTGCCGAAATTGATTCATTGGATTGATTCATAACAATTGCAAAAATAGTTATGATGCGAAAAGTCTTAATTTTATCCTTATTCGGATGAATATAGTTTATTTTGCACTTACATGATAACGTCATGGTCACATTGGAAAACATTTGGTTAAATTTTGATTTTAATTTTTAAATGATAAAGATACATCTTGGTAATTATCAGGTAACCATTTCAGAGACCTTATCGAAAGGGTAGTAGCAGCAAAACTATTGGGCACTTTGGACTATGCACAGAGGAACCAAGAACGATAATCCAAACAAATGCACATGCTATCTATTGCAAGACTAACGCCTGGTGTAACCGTCACCATGTTATTCGGTGTTTTTTAAGTAGCGCAAGGATCCTGCCATAACCGTGGCAGTGTTATTTTGTAAGCCTGGTATAACCGTGACAACGCTGTATTATATTGCAAGGCCTGTCATGACCGTGAGTGTTATCGTTGAAGCCTGGCGCGGCCGTAGCATTTACGTTTAATTTAAGAATTTTTTATTGTTGTTTGTTAAGCGATTTGTTTACTATCCACTTTTAAATAAATTGTTTATTAGTGTGACACAAATAACTTGTCTTATTCTGTGTAAATGATTAATTATTTTAGAATATGCGGAAATAATGTGAATATAATGTCTAGTAGTAATTTTGATATTAACATAATTAAGGTAGTTAAACACCTACATCACCACTCTCATACCTGAACTTGCAATACTACATTACACTGCCACGGCGGTCATACCAAGCCTTGCAATACTATATTACATTGTCACGGTCATGCCAGGCCTTGCAGTACTATATTACATTGTCACGGTCATGGCAGACCTTGCAATACTATATTACCCTGTCACGGTCATGCCAGGCTTTGCAATACACATTGTCACGGTTATGGCAGTCCTATCATAAACATTACATTGTCACTGTCATGGCAGGCCTTGCAATACTGTATTACATGGTCACGGCCATGCCAGGCCTTGCAGTACTATATGACATTGTCACGGTCATGCCCGGCTTTGCTATAAACATTGTCACGGTTATAGCAGTCCTAATCATAAATAATTGCAAGGCCTGTCATGACCGTGGTAATGTTAAAGCCTGATATGACCGTGACAATGCTTGCAAGGCCTGTCATGACCGTGACAATGCTATATTATATTGCAAGGCCTGTCATGACCGTGGTAATGTTAAAGCCCCGTATGACCGTGACAATAGTTGCAAGGCCTCTCATGACCGTGGTTGTATTTAAAGTAGCATGAGAACACTGTAATGACAATTTTTCTTCGTGTTTAACTACCTTAAATATGTAAATAAAGACTACTAAAAATGTGTATTAATTTCACAACGAAAACCTAATTTTTACTCATAAATAATTTGCGAACAAACTATATCTCTACTCTCATTCAAGGAGCTTCGATTCGAAAGCATATACTTTCTATAATGATCAATTAATAAGATTTATTCATAAAAAATACCAACAGCAACGGGTCATTAATGTTATATAAAGGTTGCGGTCGCGCCAGGCTTACACGATTACACAGTACCACGGTCATGGCAGGCATTTTAATATAATACAGCATTGTCGCGGTTATACCAGGCTTTCACGATAACATTACCACGGTCATGGCAGGATCCTTGCGCTACTTAAAAAACACCGAATAACATGGTGACGGTTACGCCAGCCGTTAGTCTTGCAACAGATAGGGTCTAAACAAATGTTATTATCTCAGTAATTTAGCGCGGGCGTAAGCTCATATTTGATACACTTTTAAAACCCTGATCATAGTTGTTTTATTAAATGTCATAGTTCTCATTCAAAATGAAATGGTAAACGATTTTATGGCCATTTTACAAAACATGCACGGAATGCTGGTCTCGTTCTTTGAGGCAAAATTGGCGCATCGGTTGAAGTTGTTCTTACTACATGCTCAGGGGTCTCATCTTATTTCTAGTCTCTTGTTTGTACCCCCGATGCTTCTAAAGTTGTTAGTGTACAGTAGATATTACCTTGAAACAGCTCCAATGATACAGGTATGTGCGTATATAGTGAATATGGGCATTTGAAGCACGTTTTGTAAAAACGTGACATAAAATTGTGACAATTTGGAAAAGATAAATGAAACTATGCGGAATAGACGAACATTGATCATTCGATTGTGCCAAATATAACTTAAAACACATGTCGGATGACTGAGTCATAAATATTTGTTTGGGTTGCCTTTTGTGTCCCACCCTGTATGATTTCGAGAAATGCAGAAATGTCCATGGACGAATATAGTGTAAGAGAAAACATGATAACGTGATGATAATCTCAAACCTTTTCCGAGAAAGTATAATAACTAGACCTATATCTTTTTCTTGGTAAATGAATAAATCAATGCATATTTTGATCAACATTTGAAATCAAATGATAACGTTTTAAGGCAAAATGAACGAAGAACGAAGTTTAGGAAATGGGTTGTGGTACAAGAGCCATTCGGAGCTACTCGATGGGCTATTAAGAGACGAAGGGGTATTATACCATTCTTATAAGACACGAGCCATTGTGACATATCTCAATTTATCTCAATTGACAGAAAATAATTAATATGAAAAGTTAAACACACGCTGGTAGTAATCTCTGTAAAATTAAATAATAAGCTGAGATCCCGTTGACTTTGGACTGGAATTTTTTGATAAATTACGACTAGCTGGGAGAACAAGTGGAGTAATTTTGATCAAGGTCCGTTATTATCATTTATTAAATTAATTTTATATGTCTATTTTTTCCGATGTTTGCATTAATGATTAACTGGATAAGCTCTTATGTGTTTGCTATCTAACCGCTGGAAACATCGACGTTATTAGAAAACCTTGAAAAACGTTTCTTTATAACTTTAGATGATATCCTATGGTGCTCATGATATGGGTTTTATCCATGTTTAGCATACAGAGAGGTTATTTAATGGGAGGGATGTAATATGGATTTTATTTCGAGGGAAAATATGATATTAACCAAGAAAAATATCATATTGACCGAGGGCGACAGCCCGAGTGTCAATATGATATTTTCCGAGGCCAATATCATATTTTTTCGAAGAAAAAATCATATTCCATCACGACCATCAATAACCTATTTATTCCATAATATTTTTCTGGAACTTGTTTTGTATGTCGTCACCCAATGATGGTGGCGTTAAATGATACAATCTAATTTATCGAATGACATTTTCAACTTTTATTAAAATAGAAATAATTTATAATACTAATACGGATGTTAAGTCTCATGAAATTTTCTGATAGTTCTAAAACGGGATCTGATACGTATAACATAGCATTTAAAAGGTATACTTTATGGATACTACATTATTGTATTAATTCAAATAAATAAACACGCTGCGAATTAAAGCAGTTGGAGGTAAACGAATCGACTACTGGCTGCCCTGAGATTTTATAGGTTACAATTGACCGCCATAAGGCCCCCTGCGGCTGCTTTGCGTCTACTTAGAGTTTCAAGAAAAAAGTTTATGCTGTTGAAGGGGAACACGACGCCATTTGACACCCTGTACGCCCGCTGTAGGGACGCCCTACACTGACCATGCGTCGTCATTTAAAGGCAGTACGGCAACGTAACGTTCATGTCTCCTCAAAATCAAAATTAGCCACACTGATGCCGTAGAAAATCTAACTGCTAAAGTAACTGACCGCGAGAAAATTCTAATGCGATCGTAAGTATGTTTCTGGCCGCAGAAATGACAGACCGTACGGTCGCCGTAGCAAATATGACCGAACCATACGTGGTTTATGTGAATTACTCATAACATTACACTTTGAATCAAATTTTATATTGGGCAAAGTCTCCTCTAGAAAAGCACGATCTTCATCACAAGGGTTGTTATCTCCTTAAACTCTTCCCAAAGCCTCCTTAAATGTGACAGATACACTTGTTCACTTCACAATATACGATTGAGAACAAGCCTTCCCAAGTTGTACCATTCCGATTGCATGAGAGTATTAGACAGCCTTGCAAATAAAGAATATTAGCATTGCTATATCTAAGATCGTTCAAAAATGGATGTGTTTTTTATTTAATATCTATAGATTATGTAAGGCAAAGTTATTGATATGTACCGAACGATCCGTTTCACAAACAAATACTTGAGATAATTATTTTGATCTGAAGTGTCGAGGATTGTTGCTCTAAATTATACAGACTGAATTATAATATCAGTTTTACTATGATCTCTGAAATGAGGTCAAAAATCCCTGCTTTTTGACACAAATCATTTTAGAACATAAATTGTAAACTAAAATTATATTACTCGTTTATTTTGTTTGTTTGAGCTTACTAGTTTTGTTGGGAACGCGTGTCAGTGTATTTGTTCTGTTGTTTTCTTGCGTTTTATTTTGTTCTGTTTATGTATTGTTTTTGACTGGAACTTATTTTTTACTGGATATTATACATGATTATATAGGAATATATGGATGTCCCTTACAATGTTTCTTGCTTTCACGTGTTTTGTTTGTATTTCTTATGTTGTATCATGCTATGCTGCCTAATTGTTTGTTTTGTGTTTAGCTTGTTTGAATGTACGTATTGAGTTGTGTTGTGATGTTTTTTATAT